GTTAGTTTCTGCTTCTGGAAGCCTGTGAGAGGTCTCCTCTCTTGCCAGTGGTCCATACTGCCCAATTACCATAAGCCAAAGCAAACAAAGGCATGAGAATTGCAGGATTCGAACACTGCACCCATGTCATCCAACATGAATATGGTGAGCCTGTTCCCTGTGACCAGGCTAGTCTCAGGCAAGAAGAAAAGGAGGCAACCATTCAAGGAAAGAAGACACGGGGTGCAGTGAAAAGGGTACGAAACTGAATATCAGGGCCCCCAATTACTAGCAGGGTGACTCTGCACAAAGTATTTAACCTCTCTAAACCTCAGTTCCTCAGGTAAAGATAAGGTTCCTGGAACTCTCTCACATTTTGAAATCTACATAAGGCTCTCATACCAAGTCACCACTCAATGAATTCATTTCCTCCATCTCATTTATATCTCCAACTAAACCTTAAGTATGTAGTAGCCAGGCCCTTGGCTTTGAGCAGAAAACCAAAGACATTTCAAAATTGTGTCCAATTGAGGAAGGCTAGAAGATGGTGCCCAAGTGAGGAGTAAGAATATTGCCTTCTGGATCCCTGGAAAAAATCAGAATACAGCATTTTTTTAAACATAAAATATATATTACCTAACCCTGAGGTGGAACTCATTAGTTAGGAGCATACTCTTAAAAGAATGCGTTGCCATCTGCTCACTCTTACCACTAGGGAGCTCTTACTCCCCGGTGGCAAGAGAGCCCAGATCTCCCAGCCTGCAAAGCTCCTGCCAACTCATTAACTAATGCCTGAAATGCCATCAGCCCACTCAGTCCTTTATACCTTAATTGTGACTAACTTGTCAGGTCCCTTCCTGAGTACAAGTTTAAGCCTAGAAGAACAAAGTAGGGGAGTAATTAATGCTGGAGAGTAGTTATATAATGCGATCATTTGTGTGGTTATATATGTGGATATATATGTACATATAGCAATATATACATGTACGTGTGTGCGGTTATATCTATGTCATGGTATGTGCATCCTTGTGTGTGTATGTGTGTGTGTATCCCTCAACTTCTGTCAAAATAATATTTCAGGAGCCTGTTTAATAGTCATATTCATGCTATTTGACATTTCATCCATGGCAAACCCGAGTCAGCCAGCATAACCACCTGTCCAGAGGTGAAAAGTGGGCTTATTTTGACTACCCCACGTCATTGGAGACCCATTGTCCAAAGCAGATAGAAAGCCTGGTCTTTTAGTAAAGTTCTCTGTGAGAGGGATATGCCTTTCTTTTTTTCCAAGATGGGTGATCCACCAGTGCCCTCTTCCACGTGGCAGACAGAATGGACACCCAACTTGCTGGCAATCGATTCATATAACCCCGGAACACAGGCGGCCCTGGAGCCCTCCAGTGATCTGTGTGCAGTTGCTCAGGAAACTTGAGAGGACTAGCAAGTGGTGTTTGCCCCTCTGATCACGTACACATCTGCACAGATGTGTTGTTGATGCTAAGTCATACCAAATGTCAGCCTTCCTGCAGGCGGGGAGGCAAGGTAAGTCACACCTGGAGGAGCTCGGGAGAATCTAAAAAATGGATTAAAACAATTTCTTATTCCCGGAATAACCTTTTCTTTGCAATGGCAACTTTTTAGTCCTAGGGGCCTGGTATGGGAGTGGGACAGCTGGTGTCAAGGATCAGGGCTGAAGCCTGAGTGTCAGGGGTGTCTTTCCTCTGAGCGAGGCCACCAGATGGGTTGCATTTAACTTGCTCCCTCTGACCCAACCTAAAACACCACCAGGGCTAAGTCTGGGGTGAGAGTGTCATTTGTCATTTGAAGAGACTTTTTTTCTATATAAATATTTGAAACACCTCTACACTCTGGCTGAACTTTAATAAGCTGGGAAGGTACTGCAGATGGAGGGTTAATTCATCATGATTCCCCAGGAGATACGTGAACTGTGGCCTTCAATCCTTTTCAGATGGCACAGGATAATGAGATTAGCACCCTCTGTGGGAAGAACCAAAAAAGAGGTGCTACACCTTTAAAAATGAGATTCTCTTTTAAATGCTCAGTAGTTGGCTTCGAGGGGTCAGAGCAAGTTTCTTGAAGCTGAAAGATTAATTAATTTGAGAAAGAAAAGATTTCAAGTGTCACAGAATCTTAGTTAAAACTACAGATGTCCCTTATTCTCGCCTTCTCCTTTCCCCCTTGCCATCCTCTGAACCCGGAGGCAAGGGGGCATGAAATAATGAGAGCTAAATACCTCCATTTGCGTGGGAAACGTATTGACCTGCCTACAAAGACGCACAATGCAGACATACAGATGCACACAGGCCAAGTGAGAACACAGCGTTCTCGGCCATCATCCCTTCTCCAGGTCTCAGGTTGCAGATTCCTCTTTATAGTGGTCATTCATTACATTTACATGGACTTAAGATCTTCTATGTATGTGGTGAACTAGTCCTATGCTGTGGGGAGGGGGCAGCAGCAGAAAACAAAGCTCGATTTTCTTCTCTCTTTTCTCGGGGCCACATTGAAAAAAAGAAGAAAGCAAGCAAGCCTTGGGGATAGGCGATAAAACTCTGCGGTTTCCAATATCCCAATTTCTAGTGGGCAGGGGAACCTGTGGTTCCGATGTTTGCCAGAAGGGCTTTGCTTGCTTCTAGAAGAGTTCCCTGTAAGCACACCAGCACAGCCCTTAATGCACCAAATCAGAGCAGCTTTTGGCACTGAAATCCAGTAGTTTTCCTATGAGGAGGTTAAATCAGTGGAATCCTAGATTTCTTTCAATTGCCAGAATTTGGGGATTTTTTTTCTCTCTCCAAAAAACGTATGTCTTCTTCTGGAGAGGCCTCATTATTGTAGTTTAAGATGGGAGACACATCCCCAAGAGATCCTTGTCCCTGCTACCCCCACTCCCTCCTCCACCCCCACCCCTGTTACATGCTCTTTAAAACAGCAGCCCCAAATGATTGTGCTTAGACCAAAGCCAGACCCCCTCCTCAAAGTTCTCAAACAAGGCACCTCTCTTCTAGGACATGGCGTCTAAATGGTGTGACATAATGTCATGTTTTAATTACAAACAAAGCAAGATGAAGTTTCCTAAGCTGGTCTGTGTATGGAGTGGGGGAGGGGGGTGGCTGCCCCCCAAGGCTTAACATTTGCAGAGAAATTTGTAGATGATTTCTCTTGAAAGGGCCTCTTAGAAGCAGTGTTGTTAAGCATATGGGTTTCTCTGCAGGCAGAACAGAAATCTACTACCAATCCACAGTTTAAGTAAATCTCAGAGTGATGCTATTCTGCATTTCAAACAGCTGATTGCGCCTCTGTAGGTAGGGGCTGGTGGCATTTGCATTTTGGGAAATGGTGGGGTAGGTCTTTCCAACCCTCCTCCTGCTATGTGGACTTATCTCTTAAAAAAAAAGAGAGAGAGAAGGGAAACAGAAAAATGCTAGTCTGCAGGCTCCTTCAGAGGGGTGAGCCACCTGAGTTTGAGAAAGACTTCTGCACATGGACAACATTGGTTCCGCGTTCACCATCTGCCATCCATGACAGTTTATTTCAATCAGACATTGGCTTAAATTGTTAGCGAGTGAAAGACCCCTCCCATCCAACACAGGCACTCCTCCTCCGCCTCCTTCCCCACACCCCCACCAAGATACCCTTCAATATACAACCTAAATCTGGTGCTGGAAACCTCAGAAGGGTGGGAAGGGGCCATCATTGGTCCCGACAAGGAAAAAAGTGAAACAACACAGGGAAAGCAAGCATTGCACAGAAAGGCTATCTGAGGAGAGGGAGCTTTTGCCCTGGATTAACAAATGAACCCCATCTCAGTAAAGGATTCCAATGGTGACCTTCCCCCCACCCCCACCCCACCCCCCACACATCACTTCTGCATCCTGTCTGCCCCTGACCTCTCCTGCTGCCAAGCATCGCTCATCCCGAGGCAGGATTTTTCTGACTGTTCCCCACAGTAACTAGGAGGGTGCTGTCCCCGCTGAGAGCCTACGCCCGCTGCAATCTTAGCAATGAGCTCCAGAAAGCACAGCTCGCATCGGCAGACGTTTGAATTGTCTCATTCCCCTCAGTCAGACCACAGAGAGCAAGAGCTGAGAGCCTGGCTCTCTCAGAGAAAAGAGTAAGGAAAAGGACACAAACGCTACTACGTCTGGTGACTCAAAGGCATAGGAGAAATAGAAACCGGTGGCGTTCGGGGCTGAGATTTTGAATTGATTTGGAAGATGGTTATATTAAGTGCAAGAAATAAAAAGGTTTCTCGTTCACAGGACAAACTGGCTGGCACTGCCTTCTAAAAGCCATTTGCCGTGATCTCTGCCTCAAAGGCCGAGCAGTGATGCGCAGCCCTCAGGCACCTTTCTCTGGCTTTAAAGTGGCTGGATTGCATTGCACACCCTAAAAATAATATAAAGGGCATGGCTTTTTTTTTTTGGTAAGTCCTTAGTCAGGTGGAGAAAATCAACTTGATAAGCTCTGTTTGTCTTTCTTTATATTGCAAATTGAGTCTGACCACTTTGCTTCTGAATTTATGGATCTTCCCTCTGGCCCCTAGCCATCCCCCTCCCCCTGCCTCCCTCCCCTCCCCCCAGAGAAGGAAATTGTAACTGTTGCTTCTCTTTTAACACAGGTCACAATTCATTTAGGTTACTCCAGTCTGTAAAAACTGTAAATGCTATTTTATTTTTTAAACATTTACCAAAAAAAAAAAATCAATGATTGGTACCTTTTTACACTCTCAGATTCCTGAATATGGACAGATCTTCAAAGGGAGGAAGGAGTCTCATATGAAATTTAAGATAGACTGTCCTGAAGGTTGTGGGGTGGGGTTTTTTTGTTGTGTTTTATTTCATTTTTGTTTTTTTTTAAGACACAATAAAGCTAAAATGTCAAGTCTCTGGGAGCGATCCCCTTACAGTTTCAGTCCAGGAGCGGATCAGAGCTTAGACAAGGAGACCCCAGCCCGGCCGCCCAGGCCTATTTGGTAGCGCACAGGTTGAGAACCAGGGGGACAATCACACCTCGCATTCCCTCGCGGGCTGCTGGTGGCAGGTACAGGAGCCATACTCATTGATGATCACCAGGGCCCCCTCGATGTGGTTGGGTTTGTAATCAACGTAGTATTCCTGGGCAGACATGGCAGCCATCTGATGCATGGTCTGTTTCTGCTTTTGCTTCCTGCGCTGCGTGACAAAGCACTGTCTGAGCTGCCTGAGGCTCGCAGGGAAACACTTCCAGGAGACGTAGAGCACCAGGACCACGATAAGGAAGGAGAAAATGAGGGCCATGGTGCCTGTGACCACCTTGTGGATCTGCACGGCGTTCTCGGCGTGTTCGCCGCCAGGGAGAGCCACCGTGGCCGGCTCCTGCGTGCCGTCGGGCTGCCCCTCCCCGCCGTCAGTGAGCGTGGTGGCCGAGCCGGCGGGGGCGCCCAGGTCACTGCGGTTGGTGAAGGCCGAGAGCAGGTGGTCGCTGGTGGGCTCGGCGCCGTCCTCGCACAGATGGAAGGCGTACACGGCGTCCAGGACGTCCTCGCCCTGCGCGTACTCGGGGCTGGCGCACTGCAAGTTGCCATCGTAGCGCCCCTGGAAGTTGCTGAGCCACGAGGCCAGGGCGCACACGTTGCGCCCGCAGTCCCAGAGGTTCCCGGCCAGGGTGATGCTCGTCAGCGACTTCCAGGAGTTGAGGATGCGGGGCTCGACGTAGGTGAGGCGGTTGGAGTCCAGATGCAGGGACTGCAGGTGCGGCACCGTCTCAAACACATGGGGCTCCATGTACTCGATCTCGTTCCCAGACAGGTCCATCTTCTCCAGGTTCCAAACCCAGTCCAGCGAGCTGACCACGATGGCCACCTTATTCCTCCGTACGAAGAGGGAGTGTAGGGAAAGGAGGCGCGAGAAATGAGCAAAGTTCATCTTGACCAAGTCGTTGTGCTCCAGGTGCAGCTCGGTGAGCTTGAACAAGCCGGCGAAAGGAGTTGCGCGCCAGGCTCTTGAGCTGATTGTATCCGATGTCCAGAAACTTGAGGCTGCGGCAGTCCTGGAAGATGCGCACGGGCACGAACTGGAGGGCGTTGGACCGCATGTGCAGCGTAGTGAGCTTCCGCAGCCCGTGGAAGAGGTCGGGCGCCAGCGCCTGCAGCTTGTTGTAGGAGAGGTCCACGCTGCGCAGGTTGGGCATGGGCCGGAAGGTGGTGTTGGCCAGTTGGGTGATCTGGTTGGAACTCAGCGTGAGTTCCTTCACTCGGCGCAGCTTCTGAAAGGCGTCCCCTTGCACCGAGCAGATGTGATTGTGATCCAGATAGAGCCACGTGAGCTGCATTAACCCCGTGAACTGGCCGGCGCGCAGCTCCGAGAGGCTGTTGTAGCGCAGGGACAAGCCCAGCAGGCCGGACAGGTTGTGGGGCGCCTCGGTGAGGTTGAGCGCCTCGCAGTACAGCAGCCGCCCCTCGCACCGGCACAGCTGCGGGCACCCGCTGGGGGCGGCGGGCAGCATCTGAAAGCAGGCCCCCAGCAGACACCAGACCACCCCCGAGGGCCTCCTCAGCAGCCAGTGTAGACAGAGACCGAGCAGCAGGAAATCCATTAGCGAGAATCTTTCCACAGAGGCTGGAGAATGTCCATTGGAAGCGCTCGGTCAGAAATCTACATCATATTTTATTCCGAGGGAGAGGGAGCGGG